AATTATTTAGACATTTATTGTACAACTGATTATTTTTATGGCATATATTTGAAAACCTAAACAACCCAAAATTCAACGGTAAAGCACTACAGGAGATATTTTCATATTCTGAGAAGCTTTTACCAGTAAATCTCATCATCCTTTTCATAAACCACAAGACAAGCAATTCCCAATTTAGCACTAAAACACTAAGTTGATGAAATAATATCACTGGAACTGAATGTCCAACAATTCTGAAGCTTGTTTGTTGTCGAGGTTTGCTTTTTTTGTTTTGTTTTTTTCTAAATGTAAGCCATCAATACAACCTCTTCTCATCCATATCTATACTTAAATGCAATGTTAGAATGTGGAGGGAGACATACATCATATTTCCCTCTCAGCTTGGACACCTGACCTCTCTCACACCGACAGTGAACGTCACACCTGAGCTCGTCTTCGAGGTTAAAGGGAAGACAAATGCAGAAAAGCTCAGCTGTGTGGGAAACTTTAAACTAAGGGATGACAAGACAAAGGCAGTCTGACAAACATGCAGCTTGGATCTGGTCGACCAGAGTGACTTAACAAGGATGAAAACTCATTTGAATGCTGTGGTAACGGAGACCATCCCTCAATGCTTTTATCCGCCATTTAAACAGAAACTTTACACACGATGAAAACATGCACTTGGAAAGTAGTTGCAACTAAACCAAATACTGAAAACAAATCTAATAAGAAGCTGCCTACAGGTGCATTACAGCCAGCAACATCCTCAACTACAACCCTAAAACCACACGGCAGACACTGCAGCCCCAAAAAGCGATAACAAAATAAAGACAGAGCAATAACACAAGCCACCGTGGAGTTCATCGCTACAGACATGAGACACGTTATTGTAGCCAAAGGTGACGGTTTCAGAACGCTTGTCCGACAGCATCGTCCCCAAACGCTCCAACATTTCACACACCCCGACTCTGAAATACAGCGATATGTGAAACCAAATCTCCCTTCGTTTAGCTGATTATCAACTCGTTAAATGACCACCCCATCCTCAGAGTCTTAAAGTATTCACAGCTAATTGCTACCAAATGTTCGGTGCCCAAAAGAAAAGAGTATTTGGAGTCCCATTAATTAGACACTGACATGATTTCCTGCCATTTTTAAAACTGCTCTAAACTGATCTAGAGAAGTCACCTGATGTAATGGGCAGTTTTCTCTATTTCCCAGTATCTCATCAACTCATCAATTAATCAGTTAATTCATCAACAGGTAGATAAATCAGGTGAAACTGTGAACTGCAGC